GAAACTCTGCCCTGAGTGAGGTGGACTGAGAGTGTCTAGGGTGCCGGTGTTCTTGGCTTGCCATGCCTGGGGTGGAGTCTCCACTGTGTGAGTAGCCAGGGGTGAAGGAAGGCAGACCCTGATCTCTTAGTTGCATGCCCCTGGAATTTAGCTTTTTCAACACCCAGGTTGGGGAGATAAGAATGCTGGCAGCCTGATTTCCTGAGGAACTGCTCCAGCTCTCTCCTGGGAACCAGGGAAGAAGGAGTCTGAGCTTGGGTACACCTACTGGAATGGAGCTTCTGTCATACTGATCTGGGATGGGGGTGTAAGGGAGTGGGTCATGGTGCCACAGATTCTCAAGCTTTTTAGCTAGATTTAGTGTATTTTCTTGAACAAATGTTTCTTCATTTGCCCTTGGAACAATGTACAGAGATTTTAGGTGGTTATTTATAAAAATTTTTCACCAGTTATGGTCGTTCAATGGAGGGAAGGTCCTCAGAGCTCCTCATGTGACATTCTGGAACTAAGCCTAATCTCCACTATTAGCTATTCTTTTCGCAAAATGTATTGCTTAATTCTTGGTTTATGGCTTCAGGTGGCTGTGAACAGCTCAGGCAAGGCTGATAGAAAACAGAAGGCTGAGGAAGAGAATCTAGAGGGCATATATATGGGGAATTAGTATTGAATTGAAGACAACGCTGAAATATGAAACAATTAACTTTGAAAAGAGAAGGTTAAAGATATGAAGAGCTTGTACATGCATTCACTGAGCAACAAACAAGTAGAATGCTTTATCATGCAGAGCAAAGTACTTAGACTCAAGGAATCCCCTCTTTGCAAGGTTGTTAACTAATAGAATGTACTACCCATAAAGGTTGCAAGTTGCATTTTTAAAACAGGCTAGACTCTTTTTTAAGATCCTATGAGTGACTAAAATACAACTTTTCTATTACTTATTCGTTACAAAAAATCTGACAGAGGCACTTTATTAACACAAATTATCAAAATAACTTCAGCGTTTTTACCTTTCACCTACCACTCTGAATCCCAGCAAAGCACTGAAGAATATCTTAGTTTGTAATATTGAAGTGCAAGTAAACCAAATAAGGTCCTGGACCACACTGATGATTATTCTGTTCTTCCTCCAGAAAGTTAAATAAAAGCAGCTGTCTTTTCTACTTGCTTTTATGCAAGGCTGACTTAGGTGTGTTGCTGCCCAAAGACGGGGGCACAGGGTAAACAACCTCGTTAGATCCCTTGCAATGCTTGGATTCTTAGGTCATGTCAGCTTCCTGAACATGGGTAAGCTATTGTTTCTTCCCTCTCCAGGAATGGGGAGATAAACTACACTTCAAATATTTATCCTCCTTATCTTTCTTGTTCTAATAAGAGACTTGGTAGCCGTGCCATTTCCAATGAAATGCCTAATATAGAACTAGTTCAATTTAAAGAGGCAGCTGTTATTTAACGAGATGATGCTTTTCAAATTAAAATCTTAAAAATATTAGGGGACAGGAATGCTCTCTTGTGTTGGCAGGATTGCAGAACTTGACCTTTCCACTCTGCTAAGGGCAGGTCAGTGTTCAATAAGAGGAAGAAGGAATAACGGACACAGTGATAATGTCTATCAGTTTCTCTTAGCAATGAAATTAAAATATACAGTTTATAGATTTAAAGTGTAATTTGCAAAGTTTAACTAAACTTACTGCTTATTAAAGTTGTGCTCTAAGCTTGACTGGAGCTTGAGCTTTGGGTCAAAAAGGGGACACTACAACTGGCCAAATATACACACCTATTTATTATTCACACTAAATTATGTATGTAGGCCACAATTATATATATATATATATATATATATATATATATATATACATACACACTATGGAAAATGATATATCCATTAGTGATTATAATGAAACTATATCTGGATAGATAGGTCTATATCAAGGAACCTGAATAACTGAAATGACAAGCAAATACATTTCCCACCTTTTGCACTCTGAACCTTGCCATTTGGTATGGGGAGCAACCCCCCTCATCTGCATCCAGTGTCATGTCCGTGCTGCTGATTGTTTTTCAAGAGGAGTAGAAGCCCCTCAAAATAAATAAACAGGATGGTTTTAAATCAGTCTTAAAATCATCAGGTTTTAGTGAAACTAAGAAAAATTTTTTTATATTACTGAATATTATAAAGCCCTAAGGCATAAGCATGGTTGGGAGATTCCAGAGATGTCTTTAAGCTAAAACGTGAAACCCTATCTGAACATAAAAGAGGTCTCTTAAAGTGCTTTGATGAATAGCAAAATGAAGTACAGTATGCATTCCTGTGACAAATTGATATCTCATCTTAGTGTCACTAAAACCTGATGATTTAAAAACTGATTTGAAGGGGCGCCTGGGTGGCTCAGTGGTTGAGCATCTCCCTTTGGCTCAGGTCGTGATCCCAGAGTCCTGGGATGGAGTCCCATGTCAGATTCCCCGCAGGGAGCCTGTTTCTCTGTCGCCTCTCTGCCTCTCTTTCTGTGTTTCTCATGAATAAATAAAATCTTTTTTTTTTTTTTAAAGAGACTGATTTGAAGTAATCTGTTTATTTACTTTGAAGGGCTCATTGCCCTCTTGGACAGTAATCACAGCACTAATACATCACTGGCTGCTGATGAGGGGTTGCTTCCCAGACTGACAGGCACGTTTCAGACTGGGGGAGTTTGGAAATACATTTGCCTATCATGTCGGTTATCTAAGTTCCTTGATTCCTTAATAGCTGAAGAGAAGAATTGAGGACAAAATACCCTCAATGTGTAGAGGTATTCCCTGTGTCCTGAAAAAAAATCACATAATAAAGAGCAATACTTTTTTTGGAAAGCTGTTGAGTTCAAGGTCATGAATCTATAAAATAGCATGACTATGTGTTGGATAACCATGATTTTTTAAATAAGCCTTCATTTAAATGAAGTTTTAACATGTCCTAAATAAGGTTTTATATACACAAACAATATTTCAAATATTTTTGTGGTATATTCATTAAAAATGGGGAGGGTGATGAATATCCAGTTTTTTCCCCCTCAAGATTCTTTTAAGTCTGAAGTATCTTACCCAGTTAGGAGTGCAAAAATGTAATTATTGAATTAACTAGAGAATGGAGTTACACATTATTTACACTAACAAGGTTGCCTTTGGTGAGGTAAAAGTGTTTTAAATAATTTTCTCAGTCCTATTAAAAATCTGTGTATCTTTAAATGTACTAAAACTTGGGTTGGTTTATAAATGTTTCATTCTAAAAAAATTAAGTCCCAAGGTGTAAATAGCAAATTATTGTTATTTTAAAGTAAAGCTAAACAAGCAGATTTTCCCCTGTATATTCCAAATTGCAGAGTCTTAGAATGGCTCAGAACCTGAGGTCTTTGGGTTGCGTTCCCCACTTGGGATAAATGTATCAACTGTCTTCGAATCTCTCTTTGAAGAGTTCATGGGCAGAGAAGTCAGCGCTCTCCATGGCATGAATGACTCAGTGTTTGGAGTATTCACTAGTTGTTAGTCACTGTGCTAAGTGCTTTTCTAATGTTACAAAATGATTCTGTGGGGTAATAATATCTAGTTTAACAGATAAGGAAATTGAATGTCAGTGGAGAGGAAGTAACTTGCTCATGATCATTCTGTGATTAAATGATGGTGTCAGGTCAGCTGGCAGAGAGTTGCTGTGTTTTAGATATGATGATATACCATATGACAGATTTATTTATTTATTCTAATTTATATGCTATCTCTTCATATATCCTAAAATAACCAGTATAGGCTCTCCCTCCCACCCCCACAAATATTTATATATTTAATCCTGTTTCTATTACTCTTCATTACCAGTGGTAAATTTTTTCAGGATGCATTTTTTCAGTAAGCATTGTGATTGTGGGAAACAGAAGTAATCTTTTTCCCACTTTAGTTTGCTCTAATAATGTGTAATATTAATTTGTAGAATTTCAAACAATACAAAATGTACAGCGTAAATACCAGTTCTTCCCTATATTAAGGGGATGTAGTTATTAGTGTTTGTTGTATCCTTCCATTTATCTATTCCTTTTTTAAAAATTCCTATACATGTGCAAGCAGTTCTTGCCCTGAACAATATGAGTTTCAGTCACAACAGTTTGAATACCACCACTCCCTCAAGAACGTGGTTCTAATTTCAGCTGCATGGATTAACTGTAATTACCTAAGTACAAACTTCACTGTTAGCTCTTCAGTCCACAAATCACTGTGTAATAACAGATGTGTCCATGATCAGTGACCAATGATGTCATTCTTCCAGTCTGTTGGTGACTAGTCACTGTTTGTGATAGTTTGTGCACAGACAGCAAAGTGTGTAGTTGTGACGACTTCTTGTTTCCTAGTGATAAGGCCATGTGACACTTTAACAAAATGGATAACCAGAAGGGGGATTTGGCCAGAAAGACAGGAAGTATACCAAAGAAACAAAACATGAATACAGTAGAAGTGACATTTGAGTTGAATGTAGGTGGAACCAGATAGGCAGTAGCTGGCTTTGGGAATGCTATTGCTATTCGATAGACTCCATGTGGCCCAGGGACACTGAGTGAGGGTGACCTTGACATACATGAGGAAAGTGGCTGTGAGGAGGAGGATGATGCCCAGAGGAAGTGCTGATGGTAAAAAGTTTCACATTAAGGAAACTGGGAGATTGAGACAGCATTGAAAACACAGATGAATATGTTGGGAACTGATCCAAACTTAGAAAGGCAAAAGATGATTTTGCCTTTCAAAGAGAAAAATGCTATCATAAATTTTACAAGAAAGCAGGCAATGTTCAAATACTTTTGACAAGGTTTCTTACAAAGAAATGAAAGTTTAATTCTCAACATTTGTAATGTTTTAAACAGTGTGATACTAGCTTTATTTTTTTCATTTTCCCATACTTCTGTAATTCAGTGGAGGCCTTGAGTCTCTTATTTACCTTGTTTCATCAGTTACCCTTTCAGTTAATTTATTCATTCTTATCTCTCAAGTACAACACAAGCTCAAGAGCAAGGACTGTGTGTGAAATATTCATCACTGGACCTAGAGTACAACACAGAGATGCTTAGTAAGTAGATGAATGGATGGATTTGCATTTAAAGTAGTAAAGCGAGTATCTTTACACTGCTTTATGAGCTGAATGCTTACATTCTCTGCTTATTTTCTAACTGGAGTATCTCTTATTAGTTCATAAGAGTTCTTCATATATGATTAATTTTACGTCCAGTTTTATGTTTTGCAATATTTTTTCATTTTAACTTTTCTGTTCTCATTTGTTATACAGATGCTTGAAGCTTTTATGTTGTCATACATATCAATCTTTCCCATTACTGATTTTGGGTTTTAAGTCATACTTACAAATGCCCTCCCTACCTGACACTATATTGTCTTTCATTTCTTCTGGCATTTTGTATTCTTATGTTGTCATTCATTCCTTTCAAATTCTATATATTGTGTTAAGTAGAGATATTTTTTTTATTTTTTTTTAAAAGATTTGAGAGTGAACCGGGAGAGGGATAGAGGGACAAGGAGAGAATCTCAAGCAGGTGAGGGTGGGGCCCACCGCAGGTCTCTATCTCATGACCCTGAGATTATGACCTGAGGTGAAAACAAGAGCTGGATGCTTAACTGAGCCACCTAGGCACCCCTAGAGAGCTTTTTTCTTTTCAAATGTTCCCAATACCATTTACTGAATAGATCACCTTTCCTAAATGCAATTTTTATATTTATGATTTTAATTAATGTAATTATGCTTGCATGATTTTATTTTATTTGCTTATAGTGTTTTGAAAAATTAAATACTATACTTATTTACCCAAATATTTAAGTAATAAATTGTGACTTACAGATTTTTAAGCAGTAAACATATCTCATGATACACTTAGAAAGCATATTAAAAACAAAAATATGGCTTTAGAGAGAAAATATTTAATCTATTTCATGAAAAAATGTGCAAAGTTTTAGAAAAGAGGCATTAGGCATTAGCGTACAGTATAAATACATTCTTGCTTTTATAATCACATGTATTACACTTCTTTTGAGTAGTTAATGAAGGCCAGTGCACACATTCTTTCTAAATGATCTTCTATTAACACATGCACTCGAAAAGATCACTAAAAATGTCTTCAAATGTATGTAGAAATACAATGTTGTAAAAACAAATATTAATCCGCCTACATGAAACACTTGAAAAATGCAGACCACGTTGATTTTTAGAATTAGAGCATGAATGGAAATACCAATGTATGAAATTGTCAATGGGATTTCATTGCTTTTATCTTTGGAGAAAAATATATAATCAAACCTTTGGAATGACAGATATAAAGTCAGCACAGCAGACCCACTCTATTCTCAAAAGTAAAACCTGAACTTTATCCACACAAAAGATGGGAGAGTCTGAGTCTCTAAAATTTGACAAATTTATGAAATATTACAATTTGAGAGTGTATTAAACATATAGATCTCAAATACACAGCAAACTTTTGATTTATCCACAAATCAAATGTAATGACAGCAATGCAAACATTTCTAAGTTGGTTCTCAATGTACCCTAACAGTGAGAATTGCAAACTTTTAAAAAATATTAGCCTATGTAAAATATTAGGTGTATTGCAAATTAGAAATTAATCTTTAAATCATATAGGGTACTGTTCTCCTCCAGAAACTAATATATTATTAGGAATTCTAGAAAAAAAAATTTACTTCAACAAAACCATGCTGCTCTGTTATTTGTGAAACCATAGCTCCTCACTGAAACTCCTACAGAAACTACTATTGTTTTTAAAGAGAGGGAAGCCTAAGGTGTGGAAAGGAAGTGGTAGTATATGTTTTACAGGTAAATCTGGGTGATGAGTATCACAGGCATGCATGAATAATACATGTCAACTCTATACAAGCAAAAACGTGTTCGTTTTTTACTGTGTACTGAACAAAGCAGGCAGCCATCCTGTACATGCTCCACAGCATGATTGTAATTCTGGTGGGATTAAGAATAATGACCGCGAATTCTAATGATAGAAGATTGTTACATGGCTGAGTCCTTCTACATTTTCAGAAAGGAACATGCCTATTTTTATCCTTCATTACCATAATTAATCAACTAATGTTTTGCCCTGTATACTTGAGGATCTAGTTCTCACGAGCACAGCACACTAGATAAAGAATCATAGGGCTGTTTATACAGGGCATATTTAAATCTGACGGCTGATTTTTTTTTCTACTTCTCAGCATTATGAAGTCTCATTTCACTTTATTTCAAATGTATGTAACCAAGTATATTAAAACCGAAGGCAATAAATTGTCCACATACTTCATAGTCTCAAGTTTTCAACATTAACATATTTTTCTTCACTCTAATTACTGAAAAACACCAGGTCTGTCAGTTGCTACTAAAAGAGGAAGGAGTTCATACTGTACTCTGACAGTCACAAAAAGGCCTGAGTATACGGTTCTGTAGTGTTTTTTAGTATACAGTTGCTGGTACAGGCAGGGAGGCATATTTGCAAATATTTCCTTTTGGTTGGGAGCTTTCAACACAGCTAAACGTCCCTTGGTGTACTTGAGAGCGACATGCCTCAAAAAAGGACATACCAAACAGTGGAGAACCCTAGGCAAACATTCCACAGCTAGAAGACAGAGTTCTCTTTCCAGCTCTAACCTTTGAAAATAATTAAACCAAATCAGCACATAAAGAAATAGAAAGGTTGAAATCAGAAAAGCTGCTGTCTGGCCTACCATGCCCAGGCCCTCTGTGGTCAGACTGGCTGTTGAGAGGCCAGAAGCATCCAGTGGAAACTGCAGGTCTACTATGCAGAAGGGCCAAGGTCTGCTGGTCATGGAACACATATAGGCAAATCAGTAAGCCCCTAATGTGTAATTTTATTCTTTAAGTTATCCTGCTGCAAGGAAATGGGGAAAATAAATTTGTAATTATTCAGGACACAATAGTGACTTTTGGTTAGTGTGAATTCATAAAACTATTTAAATTCGGGGCAGCCCCGGTGGCTCAGCGGTTTAATGCCACCTTCGGCCCCGGGCTTGATCCTGGAGACTTGGGGTCGGGCCCCACATTGAGCTCCCCGCATGGAGCCTGCTTCTCCCTCTGCCTGTGTCTCTGCCTTTCTCTGTGTGTCTCTCAAGAATAAATAAATAAAATCTTTTAAAAAAAAACCCAAAACTATTTAAATTCATTTAAATAAAACTATGCATGTGCCCCAGGACAAATAAGAGGAAATTTTGGTGATTAACAGTGAATTCTACTTCTAAAGTATGATGCAATAATTACCTTTTAAGTTGTACATTTCCTTATCGATTTCAGGAATGGGATTTTATAATAATTAACAAATTCTAATTTAAATTAGTAAATTATCTAATGAAAAGATATTTATAATCTTGTTCCAGGATGATCATGAATCACAGCGGTATGTAAAATTATACTCTATTCCTTTCAGTAACTAACACTAGAATAGGTTACCTGGTGAATACTTTACTGTAACAGAATTACATCTATTTGAGTCACGGGCCGGTTGGGGGGGGGGTGCATGCCAGTGTCATTTATAAAACAAGTAAGCAGGGGACTTTATGTGCTTTATGTATGTTAACAGGTTGGCCAAATATTATGCTTCTGGAACTCATTTTGGTTATTAAAACAAAATGTTCTTAAATATGAAGATTTTTAGGGATTGAGACAGCCCTGTGCTAAGAACTCAAGTTATTTTTTATGACAAGGTCTTATAATTACTGTTTGAAGACCAATTAAAATAGCATTGCTGGAACTAACACTGAAAATCTGCTTAATTAATACATCTGTCTGCCAAGAAAAATACATCTGGATAATATCTGAATTTAAGAAAGAATGGTACATAAAATCTTTTGGGAAACAAAAGTATACAGAGTGTTCCCAAGCCATGAAGAAGATTATATAGGAAAAGTCCAAAGAGCTTATAGAGTCAAATGGATTTAACTTAAATTTCAAAAACAATAATTTTTTGATTCTTTGGATTGATTACTATTTACTATATACAGCTTTGAAAGGTTTAGGTCTAAAAAAAACCCTACTTTTGAGAGGCAGTGTAGCACAGTAGTCGAACAGACTCAGCCAGGCTTGGCTACTTCCTAAATGCAAGATCTTGAGTCAACTGGCATAACTGCTTAGAACTTTTTTGTTTCAGTTTCATTATCAGGGAAATAAGAAAAAACAGTACCTCTTTCAGAATGCTGTTGTAAGGATTACACGAGTTAATACATACAGAGCACTTAGAAAAGTGCCAGGCACAAAATAAGCACTCAATAAATTCAGCTACTTGTATTACTTTAATACTAGAGATTGAAGAAAGCATTCACAGAAGTACTCAATGCTGCAGTTTGTTTTCACTCTCCATCTAGGAATAGAGGTAGGAATTAGGAGACCTGTATTCAAATAAGATACATCAGTCACTATTCACCTTTTAGTCATCCCACAAAATTGGCCAAGCAATAGCTCCTACCAGGCCCCACTCCAGCATTAGGCATTACTCTGAGAACTTGAGATATATCACCAACATTCTAGAGCCATTTTTGCATCTATAAAATGGACATAATATCTACTTGTCTGATTCATAGGTTACTTTGAAGCTCAAATGAGGCAAAATGCATGAAGGCACTTTGAAGATTTTATAAAGCACCATCAGAGTGTGTTACAGGGTAAGTATGTCTGGACCCTCTCAAAGGAAGTTTATTACTTATAGTTCTGGGTCTGTTTAAGAAAATTTTTATAAAACTATGTTTTTAACTATAAGATCATTTATAAAATAGCAGTATACTTTATTATAAAACTGTGTTTCTTGAATCCCAGGTCTATGGAGATTATTAACATATCAAATAGTTGGTTGACAAATATTTTCCTTTATAAATTGCAGTTGCAAAGAAAATGTCAAGGTATGTGTTAATGGTCATAATTTATTGTCATTATTCACTAAGCTAATAACTAGCAGTTTCAATAATTACTAAATGCTTTTACAAACACACTATTTCATTGAATCCTTATGGCAATCCCATAAAACAGGTAGAGTGGCCCTCTAGGGTTAGAATTCTAGAGCCTGGAAAACACATGCTTTTAACCACTATACTACATTATGCAGGAAAAACACAAGAAAAAGTAATGATCTTTTCTGTCTTCACCAAATCACATAATTAAAAGAACCAATAGAATAAATGGTTCCAAACTACATTTTGATCCTTGGTAATAAAGGTGACTTTAGAAAAGTTGTATCAGTGCTTACAATTCAGTTCATTTTAAATCTTTAAAAAATGCTTCCAGTTTTTTTCTTTCTGAAAATAACACATTGTTCACTGAAAAAAAAAACCCACAGAATTAAAATCTTAATATATTATTTCATCATTCAGGAGAACCACTGTTGACATAGTTCCTCTCTATATATTTCTATGCAACTGTGAACTACGATTGTTCTTGAACATGCCAAATACAATGGTCAGACTGAAGTCTTTTAATTGGCAGATATAATAAACTAATAGTAAATCTTGCGTAGGCAGGAAATTATTAGATACATATTTTCAATATTTTCCTAAATCTTCCAACCATCGAAAAACAAGCAAAGGATAGGTTAATTTGATACTATTAACTCAAAAGTATACTGCTGAAAAAAGAAACTTAGATGGAAATTCTTGATCTTTGTTATCTGTGTATGTATACACATACACACATACATACACACTCATCTACACATACGAATTTTTTGGCTAAGATTTATAGCTATCTGCAGGCCTAATAATACTAGAACTATTATAGTATTAGAACAGTTAAGGAGAAAATTGTTTTGTAGTCGTTAAACTTTATCAAAGTTACACTTATGGGTGATTAAACTATAAAGTTTTTCCTTGTGAATAGGTTAAATATTTGCTTGAGGCAGCATATTTAAGATAAGCAAAATTCTTTTCAGGGATCATACTAATCCTGAGTATAAAGTCAGGGGAAAAAAAGTTCTACCAATTGTGAAATAACATCTCGAAGAGTGGTGGAAAAAATAGTGACAAACCAGCACAATAATGTAGGGCAAAGATTCTAGGTATTACATCAAAGTGTATATGATGCCATATTACTGGCACTCTGATTAAGGTGACTTATACTAAAATCTTACTCTTTCTAAACTATCACTGGACATAATTTATACAAGAGAAGAAAAAGTTAAAAAAATATGGAAGTCCTTATAGAAAACAGAAGGCAGGCAAGAATCAAGAAGATTTAAAAATAAACTTTCTAGTGCTTCATCTTATGTAAGAGGTTTATGTTAGTCATAAGTTCTAGGAACCTATTTATACAGCTCTAGTAGGATTTACAAAAAACCATACTAAATCCATATAATATTTTCAACATAAGAAATGGTGCAAATTGGTGACTAGGTAAGAATAACAATGTTCAAGAAAACTGTACTTTGAAAGAAAAGTATAAGCTTAATACTAACCTAAAATTGTCTAGACAAAAGGAATATTAATAGATTCTAAGAAATACATAACTATTTGTGTCTTTGTGTTTTATATTGAAAAATTAATTATCAGGTATTTCTGAAATAGGTTAGAACTGCATATACTTATTTCCCAGGGAGTGAAAATATTATCAATCATGTCCAACTGGAAATGAGAAGTATAATATTTCAAATGCGATTAAAACATGACTTCGGCCTATTCTCCATAAAGGAGTATTAATGTTATACATCCCTTTATTACAGAATATTTTTTGTGGAAAGAAAAAGCTTATGAGGTAATTATATATAATTTTAAACAAGATTCATTTTAACTTTACATTTACATATCTCTTTAAAAATAGCTTTAGCAGGTTACAAATTAAAGTCAGGACTATATACTTCCTTACTTCCGAGGTTTAGTTAACCTGAGTAAATAAAGCTAATGTGTTCAAAACTATATATCAAAAAGAAAAATGGCAGATGATGGTGCTCAACAGATCACATTTCCAATATGTTTTTGAAGGGAGGAAAGGCATATTTATGTCACCTTGTCTATAAATATTTATTGGATAAATACAGTTTACCTGACATTTTCAAAATCCTGTAAGCTGATTATATCATAAACATATTGAATCAATTATAGTAAAAACAAGAATAGGCTTTTTAAATAGATACAAAGGGAAATGATGATAATAAAAATAATTTTCACTATCTTATAGTGACAATTTCTTTTTGGGTTAAAAACAACCCTAGTGTCATTAAATCCCTGTATATTTCAGCCCTAATATTTTAAAGAGTAATAAATATATATACACATTAATAGCATGAAAGTGCTTCACACTAAAATTTTCTTTGAAGGCTTATAAGTGATTTAAAAAATATCACAATAAATGATCATAATTTAAGTTCTGAATATGGGAATCAAAAATCCCAAACCCAATTTTAATGCTTACAGTGAAATTTAAATCTCTAAGACAACATATATACCCATTTAAATTCAGCTGTCACAATTTATTCTTTATCATAAATAGTATCACAGACAATCTCTGAGGACTCATTCATTATCTTTAAGACTATTCATTCAGAAAAAAGTTAAGGGAGTGAGTCTGTACATCTTTTGACATACTTTTTCTGTATAGAGTTATAAGGCATTAATAATGGTATGTTAAAATAGCAAATAATTTATAATAAAAATAGAAATTCTCTTTTAAATCACTCTTAACTGAATCACAGAACAAATAACTTATTTACCACTCAGATACCCTTTAAGTTTCTACTGTGATGTAGAGACCTTTTTTTTTTGTTTTGTTTTTTGGCTTAAAACAGACCTTAGGCCTTAAATGGCAGGTGTCCTTATACCAACATATGGGCCAGATCTTAGGTTCTGTTTAAAGTTACTGTGAAATTTATATATTCAAATATGCTCCTTGCTACTAGTAAAAGTAGAAAAAGTTAGTTGAAATATTTGGTTTCATTATTATTATCAGCATTCATTGCAAATTATCTTCATGATAGTATTCTAGACTACAATGTGGATTTAAGTTTTGTGTCAAATAGCAGCAGAGATTACAAAATCATGGTTCAAATGATGGTCAGTGATTTAGCTGGTACACAGCCAGAATGAAGTTATTTGTTTATAATAAAGCCACACTCCATATTTACTTATTTTAATATCAGTCACTAGAACTGAGTGGTAGGTTTCTTGGTATCCAGAGGCAGAAATGAAGCGGCCTTTCCTAAGTTATAGTGACGAGGAGGATGGTGGACAGCGGCTGTGGTGACTGGGTAGCTAACTGGCTTCTGCTAAAATACATACTTGAGCTCTACTGGAGCTGTGCACTCTTGGTGTGTACTGGTTATCTGTAAAGGCTGACTGAACAAAATTCCCTTCATCATACAGGCACTGCTGTCTGCACTACAGTAATAAAGAAACACGCTGATAGATATAACAGCTTCAAGTGATAAGCAATCTCCAGGAATCTGCAGTGAGATTGCTGGTTGACTGGAAATGCTCTCTATTTCTCCAGAGGGTATCTGTCCTTGAAGAAGCCATTCGTTGCCTAGAAAATGAAAAGGTAATTTACTAAGACTGTATAAGACAAGGAGGAAGTTAGATAAACCTTATGAAGACTAAATTTATTCAATCAACAGATACTTACTGAAAGCCTCTAAGTGCCAGGTATTATGCTCTGTGTGAAGGACATAAATGGAATAAAATGACCACCCATGAGGAGTTCCTAGTCTAATAATCTTGGTATCATTAAAATTCTTCCTTTGAACACTGTAAATGCAAATTTCTACTGAAATCAAACCAAATAATGCAAATATGTCTATAGATCCTTAATCCTTGAAATTAAAAATGAAACCTATTAGGTTCTAGAAATAAATAGGTCATTTTTACCAGATAAAAGTGTTTAGAAATAGCATATGAAACTCCAAAATAATCTAGGGTATATAAATGTATGTACAACTCTGTGGTGACTTTCAAACTCAAGATAATGATGAATTATTAAATAGCCAAAGGTAAAAACTAAAAAAATATATTTTTAGAAACAAGTAACACTGCATAGATTATTCAGATGAGCTCAACAATGTAAATACTAAGATTTTGTCTACCTCATTTTAATACATAATTCTTCTTAGATTTAAATACATGGATTATGCCACAAGTCTAATAAACTAAAAATCTTCAAGCTTCTAATATCAGAATTTTTAAAATGTATTTATTCACATAGTGCCACCTCTCAGAAGGAACGTCCGTGTCAGGTTGAGGAAGGACATGCTTAAGTAGACATTCAACTTAAAGCAGGGTTAGATATTAAGTGCCAACATTTGGAAAACACAGGACATATTTCCTGCCATCTTAAACAGAAGATACAGAGCACAGTCTCATGACTTCTCAATGACTCTGGCCATCTGTACAAAAACTGAACCACCTATTGAGTGGTAATGAAATTCTATATGTACTTTTTAGTTTTTTTCTTTCTTTTCACCTCAGGATGAGTCAACAGATCATCTGCCTTTATTAGGCCTCTCCATCTCTTTTCCAGTGTACTGCTTCTAGTTCTCTGATGATTGAAAAATCAAATTTGAGAAAAATACGTCAAGTCAGAGTAAGGAGAAGGTGAAAGTTGAAAATCTAAAGAGTTAAGTGAAGAGTTTTTAAACCATTATTTTAAAATTCTCTTTAAAATTCTTTGCAAAAAAATTCTTTGCTTACTTCTGTATTGAAGACTATTTTTATTTAATATTTGGATTTACTAGATAGCAGATTTTAAACCAAAACAGGAAACCAATTATGTTATTTTAATGTCTAGTTCTAGAAATAAAATACAAAGTTTCAAAAAAAAAATACAAAGTTTCTTTGGATATTTTTCAGATACATCACATGGGTGATTTGTGATGTTATAATATGCCAGGGGTGCTTTTATACAGCCTTTTTGGAGGGAGGGGTGTACTTAAAATGTTCACATGTGCTGACCACTTGAAGACGATATTGACCAAAATTTAGTTAAAAATAGGTGTTTTAAAAGTCTCTAAATAACTGGCCAAGAAAACAATCTTTCCTTTAATCATAGGTGTACAAATGTACCTTATAAAATAATTTTCAAAAGCCTTAAATTATTAGGACTCTTGTCTGAAAGCTTATTTGCCTATATACAATAAATATGGAACCACTATTTTCGACAAATGATAAAATAGTATTAAGGTGAAGTAGTCTGTAGAGAAAATTCCTATCTGTATTTTGTATTCTAGTAGCTCATTATTAACCTGTGTGTTGGACCAAGTAGAGTTGAATATGTTAATTCTTTTTAAAGATTTTATTTATTTATTCATGAGAGACACAGAGAGGCAGAGACATAGGCAAAGGGAGAAGCAGGCTCCTCTTAGGGAGCCTGATGTGGGACTCAATCCCAGACCTGATCCCGGACCCCGGGATCACGCCCTGAGCTGAAGGCAGACACTCAACCACTGAGACACCCAGGCATCCTGAACATGTTAATTTGTCAATATCGTATTTTAAAAAACAATCCACTGCTCTTTAATTACACACAGAGAGATTCAATTAACAGTAATCTCCAGGGACACCTGGGTGGCTCAGTGGTTGAGTGTCTGCCTTTGGCTCAGGGTGTGATCCTGGAGTCCCAGGATTGAGTCCCCCATCGGGCTTCCTGCATGGAGCCTGCTTCTCCTCTCTCCTTCCTGTGTCTCTGCCTCTCTGTGTGTCTCTCATGAATAAATGCATAAAATCTAAAAAAAAAAAAAAATACTGATCTCCAATTGATGCGGTGTTTTCAGACTAAAACTCAGGCCCAACAGTGATCTACCTGGGACTGAGGTGACAAATGGCCAACATTTGAGTACTCTCCTGTCTATGGAGCTGGCTCCAGACGTCCTCCTTCTCATTTGCAGAGATCAGCCCTCTCCCCTTGGTGGGTAGAGGGTGCTTTCCTGGAGCTCATCACCCCAGAGCCAGGCTCCCCAACTCTAGCCAGCAGTTCCTCCTGGCTAGACCATCACGATCTCCCTTCTCTGGGTCTGGATACACAGCGAAGCTGGGCCTGGAGAGCAGTGGATTGGTTTTTAGAATACGATATTGACAAATTAACATGTTCAGGATGCCTGGGTGTCTCAGTGGTTGAGTGTCTGCCTTCAGCTCAGGGCGTGATCCTGGGGTCCGGGATCAGGTCTGGGATTGAGTCCCACATCAGGCTCCCTGAGAGGAGCCTGCTTCTCCCGCTGCCAGACTGGACAATAGCAGCTACCCTGAGAAAATAGCAAGGTAGGAAGGCAATGAGCCTGGGTCTGGGTTAAGGCACTAAAGAAGTGTGTGAGAGGGTAGGAAGGGGGTGGGGTGGGAGGAAATGGAGACTGAGAACATGTGAAAGAGCGTGGGAGACCAGGACAGAGGAAGGTCATTTGAGACAAGAAGTCAGCATTTAGTTCTGGACCACTAATATTTTACTTTAAAGTTGCTGTCCACTCTATCAGAGGGGTTGGGAAGCACTGCTGTCAGGCAAACAGCAGGCTGATTTCTTCTTATAAATTAATCAAGAGCACACAGGGATTCAAATACACATTCAAATCTCTACACGATTTACAGTCACTGAATACTTTGAGAATAAACTCAAAAAGGAAGTGCTCTTAGCTTAAACGACTACAAATTAGCGAGTAAGGACAAAGGCTCTGCCTGCATTCTGATCACAGTGATTCATTTGTATTCAATTACATATCCCCCAACAATGTTTTATTCTTCTACTTGGATGGCATCCTTTTAAGATACGGTTTTGGCATCCATTTTCTTATAGCGAGCAAGTAATGGGGCTTGAATTCCACCTCTGGCATCACTAAAGAAGAAAATGTAGCTTCAGGCTTAATAACTGGTAAATAAAGTCCTTTTGAAATAAAATGAACAACAATTTGAAAGCTCTAAAGCACTTGATAGATGCAGATCTGGAAAAGTAAAAGATAATAGTAAAACAATAAAAAAAACTGAATTGTAAAGAACCTAAGTTACTTCAGTTAAAAGAGTATGTTTTTAAAAATGTCCTATTCAAGGGGAAAATCAATTTCATTCTTTAGAACAGACTCTGAGATATAGATCACTGTATTACTGGAAGGTACCCTGGTAAACACAATTTCACACATGAATGTTTGCATGATTATTCTCATACCTTCAGCTGTTAGAAACCAACAACTGGGTACTCCTTCAGTCAGCTTTGTTCCTGATGGGAGGTCTAATCTTAGCTTGAACTGGAGAGTCTGGCCTGGAGAGGCAGCCACTGGGGAAAGTCTAATGTTTGGAGCAGATTTAGGTAGTTTGGGTAATGTCTTCTGTTTCTCTACTAGGAATGGGCCATCTACCACAGCGTTGTCAGGTCTGAAGACTGGGAGCTAGGAAAAAAGAAAATCTATTAATTAAAGAACAAGTAGTTTATAGTAATTATAAAGAGCTTATCTTTGAACCTTAGTAGAAAAACGAGGTTCTCTGTCAACAAAACTTAATTGCATTCTAGCCTGAATTGGAAATGTGTCTACTTACACACCTGATTATTTTATAGGTTCAGAAACACATTTCATCCTATCAAAAAGATTACCATTACTAATGAAACAGAACTAATAAGTTCATCATCCAGTATGCTTATAGATAGTATGAAATTAAAGTAAAACTTTATCAATTTAAATATAGGGGATATAATTCCACTTACAGGTTTCACTGCCGAATATAAGATGATGTATGTCAGGAGAAAGGATGCTTTTATTTTATTTTATTTATTTAGGTCGCTTATATTTTAAAATAAAGATACAGACTGCCATCATAACATTTCTTGGGAATTCCTAGAATTCTAGAAAAAAAGCTGGTTTTTTTTTTTTCTTCAAATATATCAAGAGGTAGCTTGAAAATTTTGGGAGACTAAATTGATTATAATGCATTTAAATTTCTTCCAGTGTTATTTTCAGTGTGTTGAGAAATGTGGCTCCTAGAGTTTCCTTGGGGAGATTATTTGGTAACAGATTAATGTGTGATCTTTGTTTCCTATGGTGAATCCAAGAATCATTAAAAAAAACAAAACACCTGGACAACCCAACCCATGCAGTATGTACGTGCAGTGTGTATATGTCTATACATTTTTTTCAGACATTTAAACATAGATGAAAATTCAAATTCTCTCCAACTTCCAGTATCTTAAACACTGTCATCACAAATGGAATTTTTATTTTAACAAGAGCAGGGCATCCTGGAAGGAGGCCGTCACTGACTACTCTATGTACACGTTTCACTTCCAAGACTGGAGATGATTTAACCAAAAGTGCCTCCTCCTGTGCTATGAGGACTTTAGTAGCATTCTCAAAATGATACTCTTTAAACTTATACTTTTAGATTGCTTACCACAGAAATCGTTTTTGTTTCTAAATCCATCACTTTAATTTGATGATTATTGGTGTCTGCTACATATAATAACTGGCCATTCTCTCCAACACACAAGCCTCCTGGTTCATTAAAAGTTGACTCGGTAAAGCTGGAAGTGATAACATTACTTGCATCTCCAGTTCCCGCTAATGTTGTGCAGTTTTTTGTTTTCGGATCCACAGCTTTAATCTAAAAAGAAAGAACAATGCAATATGTATCTGAAGATCAATCTCATGTTAGTAGTATAGAAAAGTGTAGTGAAAACAAGCCAGAGAACTTGAGTGCCGTTAACATTCTCAATAAATCTCAGAAAAAGAAGAGGCATTTCCAGGGCACCTGGGTGGCTCAGTCGGTTAAGTGTGCCACTCTTGATTTTAGCTCAGGTAGTGACTTGAGATCCAGGCCTGAGTCAGCCAGGTTCTGGGTTCCATGCTCAATCACAGCAGGGAGTCTGCTTGAGATTCTCTGCCTCACCTTCTCCCCTTTCCCTCCCTCCTACTCACGTGGGTGCTCTCTCTCAAATAAATAAATCTTAAAAAAAGGCATTTCCATATTTTCTTGAAAAGTCAAACATTCAAATTACAGTCTCAGGGGAGATACTACATTCTGAGGGCTAAAAAACTACGTAAAACACCCAGTTACATCTTATCTCCCGGCAGCAATCTTTGATGAAATTATTTCGGGAATCAAAAAAAATTTTAAATGTTATTCTTTTTCCTTACAAAGAGACACAGTTGAAGGGACTTTCTTTTTCAGGAGCATCTAACAAGGGCTTAGAATTGGCCGCTTATGTTAAACCTAATGACTCCCAATTGTGCCTCAATTATGTTAATTTATGGTATCATCACAAGGTATTAACATTTTCCACTAGTTTTTACAGAAAAGAAAAATGCAAGAAAAACGGCAACAGTTGAATAATCTGTGCAAGAGACAAAATTGGAAATGCTGTTGAAAATGGAATTATTTGCTAGCAAGCATTGCAGCTATGCAACAGCTCAAAATTGTTCCTTTGTTAGTTAACATATTAATTTCCCTGCCACCTGCCGTCTTCTTATTTACCCTGTTACTAGGCATCTTTGATGCACCGCAATGCACAATTTTTTGCTGTAGTCAGAGGCAATTTATTTAGTCTCTTCCTCAGCTCCGAGTGCCATCATATCCTCTTTGCAACGAAAGGACTAAGAAAAGAACAGCAAAGGCTTGTACATAGTTGTCAAAGACTGTTACTCTTCTCTACTTTAAAGTGGCAGTTGGAGGAGGCTCACAGAACTTTAAGCTTTTTAAATGCCACAGATGAAAAGCAGGGTATTCTATAATTCTGTTAAGACTCACCTTGTGATTATAAGAGTCTGCCACGTAAAGTAAATTCCTTTTCTTGTCCCAAGTTACTCCAAGTGGGTGCTGAAGCCTGGCATTGACTCCTACTCCATCAACATCACCAAAAGCAAATAAATTCTTAAAAAAAAAAAAGGCAAAAAATTTTTTAATTTAATTTTTTAAAATTAAAATTTTTATAGTGCTACAGAATAGGGTATAAAGTAAAAAGACTATATATGCTACTTAAGCTAAAGAGGAAATGGGTCTGATTTCATATAAACAGGCTTGGGTATTTGATTCAGACAAAAAAATGACAGAATTTTGAACCTGTGTTAATTTGTGGGACTTGGTAGTTTTATTCACATTAATACATATCTGGTCAGGAACAGGTCAAGTCTACTTATCTGGTGCTCTTTCTACCCTACTGTCAAGTATCTAATTTACATTTTCCTCCCCCCTTGGTAATCAATATCTTTTCCTTCTGTTCTTCCTGAAGCCTTGACATTTGGGTAATCAAGTAGAGTCAATTGACTTTTCATAGATGGTTTTATCACTTGTGTTTCTTTATATTCAGATTTCCTTTGGCCTGACTTCCACTTTAACTTATGAACAGGCCAAGAACTGGCTCTCCTGAATTTTATTAATTCTTCACAATTCAAAATATGCAAGCATGGTTAAGGGTTTGGGCATAGCATGCAAAAGTGATTTTCATGTATTACCATGGGATCTCTTTCTCCTCCTACAAGGTGTTTCACTGCTCCGTCTTTCAGTGACACGGTTCTCACTGTACTGCTCTCACTGTCTGCGACAAACAGGCAGCTCCAGGGATCTTCGGGAGCCAGAGAAAGACCTGAAGGCTGGGCAAAGCCTGCCTTGTGAGGATATGCGTTATTTCGGTTCTCTTCATTTCCACTTCCAGCAAACCGAAGGCAGGTTCCTTTTTTCAGCTCACTAAAAAAAGCCAAGTTCAAAGGTGGAATCAGCAGCATTATGTTGTGTCCAGTTTAGTTATTATGAATGTAAGTGATGAAATCGGTGGTGATAAACATTGTTAAAAAACAGACTCGTGACCTTGACCTCAAGTGTGCAAGTCAGCTTTACTTTCCCTATAGTTTTTCTAAATCATTAACTTATTCACTGTGTTGGGACCTTTTTTTTTTTTTTACATACACAAAATTGCAACTATTCTCAATGGCCAGATAGGAAATCCCTGACAAGAATAATGATTATATCATTGATTGGATAGTTGTGTGTTTTTTATTTTTATTTTTCCCCTTCTACAAATGGCCAGAAATAGTACATCTGGATTCCACCTTAACTTCTTAAATCTTTTTTTTTTAAATTTTTATTTATTTATGATAGTCACAGAGAGAGAGAGAGAGGCAGAGACACAGGCAGAAGGAGAAGCAGGCTCCATGCACCGGAAGCCCGATGTGGGATTCGATCCCGGGTCTCCAGGATCGCGCCCTGGGCCAAAGGCAGGTGCCAAACTGCTGCGCCACCCAGGGATCCCCTGGATTCCACCTTAACTTCTTACAGGACCATTATGCTTCCTTAATCAACTGTAAAATCAATTTCTTAGATACAATAGGGAAATTTCTATTTAAAGGAATTTGCAATGATTCTCTTTGTAATAGAAAGTTTTACACTTTGGCTTCTAGGTTTATGCTGGAGGAAGTGGAAGGAAGATGGAGTGGTATGGTGTGTTGAGGGAGGGGAAGAAGCAGACTCAGGATGCAAAATAATGAGATGACATATGTATCATCTCCAGCAGGCAGAAGTCTAAGGTGACCATCAATCACTTACTGATATGTTCCCAATGCTAAGTTAGATGGAGAACAGGGGACAGAGGCAAAGGAATATAGAATGTATAAAATATGGCCACTTATTAAAAAAAACAAAAATGTAATCAGAGAAATACATATGATATCTAATTTGCCAAACAAATGAAAGGTAATTAATGTGAATCTTAATTTCAAATAGGAGTTTCCTTAATTAAATAAAATAAAGAGTGGGGAGAAAAAGTAACTTCTAAAATGTTAGGACTCTACCACTGGAAGATCAGTAATAAAGATCAAGCATCCTTAAAAATTAAAACTATGATACATGTCCATGTGATCCAACTGGACATTTTCCTATTATGAACAAGAGTGACAACTCTACTTATTTGGAAATTTAGCCCACTCTTGACCATATAGGTCGAAAATAGCCATCACTTGAACAGTGTATTCTGGCCATCTCTGTTATTTCTTTCTACTGTTTATAATTATGCCTCATGTTAATGTCTCTGGTCACCTCACTGTTCAGGCTACTATCATCTTTTGCCTGGAGATAATCATAGCCCCCTCACTGCTATCTCTGTCTCTAGTTTTGTCCCAGTCCAAATGCTGCCAGTGTTCTTTCAAAAACACAGATCTAATCATGTCGCTAGCCAGCTCAAAACTTTCCATAAAGGCATGCAGAATAATGTTCACATTTCTTAAAAGGACATAAAAGGCGCTTCACGATCTAGCTTTTACTCACATCAGTGGCGTCATTTCTGACAGTGGAAATGACTCGTGTCATTTCTGAGTGGAAAACCTCCACTCTCCCTAACTCCTACTCCTCTATCTGGTTTTAGTTTAGCAGCTTCTTCCAGGAAGCCTTCTTTGATACTTCATATTTTATTGGTATCAGGTATTCCTCTTTTTTACATAAGGGACAATTTTACTTTAAGGGACAGTCTAGTAGGAAGAAATAGTTATGTAAGCCAATAAGTGCAATCAGAAACAGAGAGGGGGAGAGAGAAAAACTTATCAGGGCAGTTAATATAACTACATAGGGAGTGTAGTGAGATCACAGAGAAAAACATGGTCAGTTCTACCTGGAGTGTTAGGGAGAAGAGGTAACGCTCTACAGAAAGGATATAAGAAACTGTGCAGAGACATTATTTTTTCATCTTTATATCTCCAACAGTGGCAGCAAAATTCCTACATTTGCTGTATAAATCAGGCATGAGGCTGAGCTCTTCATACATACTATTTTCTTTTTTTTTTAATTTTTACTTATTTATGATAGTCACACACACACACACACACAGAGAGAGAGAGAGAGAGAGAGAGAGAGAGAGAGAGAGAGAGAGAGAGAGAGAGAGGCAGAGACACAGGCAGAGGGAGAAGCAGGCTCCATGCACAGGGAGCCCAACATGGGACTCGATCCCGGGTCTCCAGGATGGCGCCCTGGGCCAAAGGCAGGCGCTAAACCGCTGCGCCACCCAGGGATCCCCATACTATTAATTTTCAAATCAACCCTAGGAAGTGGATATAAATAAAGAAACTGAAGCATGGAAAGTTAGATTGGCTCTCCTAAGCTCCCAGAGAATAAGTGGCAGAGGTAGGATTCAATCTCAGGCACAAAACCTGAGCCATGAACCACTCTGCCACACAGTACTTAAATGTTTATATTCATGAGCAGGGCTGTGTGAACTGAATGTGAAGGGGTGAGCGCCCACCAAACATTTCTAGTTCTCTCTCTGGAGGCTTGACAGGACTGATCTTTGCACGTTCTTGGAAGTTAGCAATGGTGGTTACAAGACTTACTCAGGCTGATGAAATGTAAGTAAAAGGGATGTGTGTCACTTCAGAGTAGAAGCTTGAAGAGTCCCTGAACTACTCACCACCTCTCCCTCTGCCAGGATGACTGGTAAAGCTCCAGGTGGTGGCTGCTTCATCAGCCTGGTGGCAGAGGAGCGCTTCCCAGAGAACCTATGTGAGTGGGCAAGAAGCGAACCTTTTCTGATGCTCCTGAGAATCTGAGCTGTCTGTACAGTACCAAAGCTCAGCACATCCTGACTAGCACAGAGGCACTGCAAGAACGGAGACTGGAGGAGAGGGAGTTCTGTGAATTCGTGTTGTTAACCCAAAGAAAGATACTGTCGCTTACTTTTTCTTTGGTAGTCTGCCACAGTCCAGGAGCAGTGCCCATATCTGATGAGTCCCCGCCATGGCTATCCATAGAATGTCATCTCCTCGGACCTCTGAACCTTTATAAAATAAAAAGTAATGATTATATATGTATCTCGTTAATATCAATATTCTACATGTTTCAGATATTTAAAAAATGACAGCAGTATGTTTATAAATCATATTTATAGTTTTAAGTTGTTTTTGAAATTTTTCCATTTTCTTTGTGAAAGGTTTCTTTCTTTAGATTTATAAATTACGTGTAAATTCACAGAAATCCAAAGTATTCTTAATAGCAGGATGTCCCTCTGCATCTCTGGGCACACGGTTTTTAAATATTTGATTTCTTATTTGAGAAAGTAAGTTGACATATACTCTTCACAGAAACTCCACCAGTCAAATACCTAGCAGTAACCACTGAAATCATATGCTTTAATAACAGGTTTTTGAACAATTTTGTTTTTTAAAGATTTTATTTATTTATTCAGAGAGAGAGAGAGAGAGAGAGAGAGAGAGAGAGAGAGAGAGAGAGAGAGGCAGAGACACAGAGGGAGAAGCAGGCTCCATGCAGGGAGCCCAACATGGGACTCAATCCCGGGTCTCCAGGATTACACCCTGGGCCGCAGGTGGTGCTAAACCGCTGTGCCACCAGGCCTGCCCTTGAACAATTTTTCATGAAAAAACCGTATCTTTCAATAGTGTAACAAATATGTATTCCCATTAGGGCACCAAGCTGGCTCAGTTGGTAGAACATGCGACTCTTGGTCTCGGGGTCATGAGTTTGAGCCCCATGTTGGGCATGGAGCCTACTTAAAAGTAAAATATTAAAAAAAAATGTATTTCCACTACAGGATTAGCTAAACTTAGATACACATCACAGTTGCTATTTAAAAATCCATTGTTTCATTGGCTATGAGGCTTTTTCCAAAAAATATAGTTGACATGCAAAAAAGTTAAGACTACAATATATTACAATATAGACTACAATATATAATTGTTTACTAAAACTCGTAAGTAAATTTCTTTCTTAGACTGATATTACAACTTACTACAATGTGACAAGGCTCTATTTCTCAAATTATTTCTACTGTTAAAATATTTATTTTAATTTAGGGGTACCTGGCTGGCTCAGTGGAGCATGTGACTCTTGATCTCAGTCGTGAGTTTGAGCCCCAAGTTGGGTGTGAAGCCTACTTTAAAAAATATATCTATTTTAAACTGTATTCTGAAGCGACTTTTATATATAATTGAGAATTTTTAACTAAAATATTTCGTCAGATATACCTTATGCTAAAAGAAGTATCATGGTAAGGCCATCTTATTTGTATTTTCTTTAACTTCAAGTAGTGTGTGTCCAAATGGAACTTTTCTTCCTTCAAGTATAATACCTTCAAGTATCTTTCAATTTAACAACAAAAATAATATTGACAGTTCTCAATAAATTGCGGTTGCTATGTGCCAAGCACTTTATAGAAATTATCACTCACATTTTTCTCAAACACCCACAGGTACTATGACTAGGCCTTTTTTACAGATGAAGAAACTGAGGCCTTAGAGAGGTTAGGTAACTTGCCAGGACCCCAGCACTAGTAAATGAACTGGAATCTGACACCAGGCAGTCCGACAGAAAAAATCTGTATCACAAGATGCCTCTTTTTCTGTGTTCTTAATTGCTGTCCTATGAAATCTAAGGGAAAGTATTTCAATTTAATTTTTCATAGTTAAGTATTTTTATGAACAAAAATTATATTACAAGTGACAAGGGCATCCATTTGTTCTGGGGACTCAGTCTCTGCTTTATCACCTTGTATAGATCAAAAGCTTTTCAAAATTATTTATTTTGCTCCAGGACAAAGTACACTCACTTTGTGAGGACAAAGTACAAAGGTGATCCATAAGCCAGAAGAAAGGTCTCACCAGAAACCAATCATGCTGGCACCTTGACCTTGGACTTCTAGCTTCCAGAACTGTGAGAAAATAAATTTGTTTTTAAGCCACCCCATCTGTGGTATTTTGTTATGGCAGCCCAAAGTGACTAAGACATTTTCCCTGAGAACAGAAATGAGACAAAGATATCTGCTATCAACACTTTTATTTACCATCATATAAAAGTCCTAATTTGTACAAGAAGCAAAAAATACCCCAAAAGGAAGAGAAGTAAAACTGTAATTATTAGAAGATGACATGCTTTTAAAGCCTCTACCTTGCCAAAGGAGAGCTGTGTTGGTGTATAGCTGAGTGAGAGACCCCATCAGTTCTCCAGTCAGACCAACCTAATTCAACCAGGATCTACTATATGAAAGCCAAACTTCATAGTAGCAAAGTGTGAACAGTTTGTTTGGTTTTGCTCTCTGTGTACTTATTTCCTTTAGAAGCCTGAGGAATGAGAAAAGGTATAGAAGCAAAGGCTGTGTCAAATCAGGAATTCAGGGTCTTGGGATTCCCCGTGACAACTTATGATGACAATGATGACAGTGGGAGGGGAGGGGGTGAGATTGATGACCATCTAGAACACTTCTTATGTTTAAGGCACTGAGCTAATGACCAAGCACCTTACAGGGATTATTTCCTTTAACAACTTTAGCAAGTCTTACTCTTATCATCTCCATAGAAAAGGGTTAAATAATTTGCTGAAACTCACATGGCTAAACCTGGACTAGTTACTCTATTAGTGAGTCTGACTCCAGATTATTAGTGTTCTGATCAGAATGAAGAAACTACAGAAGTGAGCCTGGGTTCTTTTGGTCAAGTCCCTGCTTGGCCTATTGCCTTCCTCCTCCTCCGCCCGATGGATTTAGCTCATGCTTGAGGCTCAGAAGCAAGGATCTGATCAAATCTAACAATGGCTCTCTATTCCAGGATGTGTGCCTAGGTTCACTCCTGTCCTTCCCTCCCTGTAGCCTGTGGAATAGCCTATGTCTGAATAATCTCTTACCAGTATTTTTTCCAATCCCTTGCCTTTCCATTTTTGGGTTGTTTCAGCTTATCAGCAGCTCTTTGTGACTCACAGGATGAAACTCTATATTATAGCAAATACTTCTATGGTCCTTTTTCTATGGGCCAGGCACTATTCTAATTTTTGCAATAAGCTTTTGAGCTAGATACTATTAATATCTTTAAATGAGGAAATTGAGGCATAAAGAGACTAGGCATAAATTCGTCCAAAGTCACACAACTACTAAAATGTAAAACTAATTAGATCCCAAAAGGTCTGGCTCCAGTCAATGCTACGCTGCCTCTCAGGAAGTTTTTACTTGGCCTGATCATTTCACTGAGGGCTGAAGAGTTTGTTCTTGCAGATAAAATGAGAGTTAAAAAAAAAAAAGAAAGAAAGAAAGAAAGAAAAAAAAAGGGAAAAGGGAAAAAGGTAGCCTGGCATTTATAATGTCTACTAAACCAACAAGAATCATATTAATAATTTATACTGTTCACCCTGGATTTTGAAATCTAAAGCACACAATTATATCACCAAGTATGGGTATTAGTTTTGTTCCTTCTAACAAGAATGTAACAGTCATGAACATTTCAATTTTAAATTAAGAGTGCATTTAGTATTACGGATTTTCAGGTCACTTAAAAAAAAAAGACTGTCAAAAGTTTGAAAAGGTTTTGCAAGTATTTTAAAAGGCAATATCTCTCATAATTGTAAGGATTAGTGAAATAATTTTAGAAGATAGGAATAAAATCAGCAAATGAAATATGGAAATAAAATTACCTGCCATCTAGCCTTTAAAAATTCACTGTTATTTTAAGCAGCTATGATAAAAAATAGATCCCAGTGATTAGAACCCTCTAAATAGCATCTATAAAATTGTCCATTTGTATAAATAGATTTTTCTACACTAGTCTCTAAATCTCTTAGGAAGCAAAATCTCAGGCCATTAGAAGAAAGCAGTAAAACCTAACATCCCCTGGGCACAGGAAAAGACCAATCGCAGGGCACAGGAGAAGGGTAGAAGGAAAAACCCTCTCTACCTCTGGGGGAGGGGCAGAGAACTATTTTAGGCCAAAGACCCCATACTGATTGATACCAATATAGGTTTCCCACTGCTGGGGAGAAGCAGAAAACTCCTCAAAACCACTCAGTGTTTAGCTGCCAGAGAGAGAAGGAATGGGGACAAACAAAAAAACTCCTTTCATGGAGGCAGGGACACAGGGTCTCTCCAAGACTGAGGCTAACTGGAATAGAATACCTTCTTAGGCCCAGTGCAGCCTGGTACAGAATAAACAGCAGCAATCTATCTTCGGAGAACTGCAAGAGTGCAGAGACACAAGCCTTCCATGGCTCAGCTGTGCAGGATAGCTGAAAGTTGATGGTGTACTGACACTGAGAAAAACGCTCCAGCTACAGGCCCCCATGCTAAGGCAACTGCAACCACTGCAAGAGGAATCCGAAAGCTATGATAAACTGACAGTAACCACAGCAATAATAAAACCCAGACCTAGCCTAGGTTCTGACTAAATTGTCTCAACCTCCCTTATGGCATAAACACTACTGATCCTATCAGCCTCTGGAGTTCTATTCAAAATTACTGGAATATAATTAAAAAATGAGAAGACACACATAAAAGCAAAGCAGAACAAAACAAAACCACCCAAACCAAAATCCCATTTTCAAGAGATAAAGCAATCAACAAACAGACTCAGCAACAACCTGAAATTTAGAATTGTATCACATGGACTTTGAAAGAACTAAACTTTCTATGTTAAAGAATCTAGAAAAAGTGGGCAGCCCGGGTGGCTCAGCAGTTTAGCACACCCAGGGTGTGATCCTGGAGACCCAGGATTGTGTCCCACGTCGGGCTCCCTGCATGGAGCCTGCTTCTCCCTCTGCCCGTGTCTCTGCCTCTCTCTCTCTGTCTCTCATGAATAAATAAATAAAATCTTAAAAAAAAAAGAATCTAGAAAAAGAGGTAGCCAACATACCAAAATAGATGAAGAATTTAAGCAGATAGATGGAATCTATAGGAAATACTAAAATGGAAATGCTATACAGAAAAGAATCTGTGATAAAAATTTCCTTCAATAGGCTCATCAGTTGACTAAACACAGCTGAGGAAACAATGACCCTAAAGATAAA